CCAAAGCGACTACCTGCACTCCAGACTTATAACGGAATCCAACTTTGGACAGTGTGTGAATACAATACTTAACATAGCTATGCAGCGAAAGGAGAGCTTTCACTAAGAATATACAAAGCTGGCCCACTGTCAATAGTGAATAGCTCAAAAGTGACCTTATTGAAGCTAGCATAGAACAGAAAGAGATGACCATATTGACTCTCACTATATGGCATTGAATAGACGGGGTCTTCTAGCCGTTACACATTATGTTAAAGTACTCTGTTGAAAAGTATAAAGAGGAATCATCATAATAATGGCCCTGCACCTTTAACAGGGGACTACAAAAGCCACATCCCCAGTCACACCCGCAGCCGCAGCCGCAGCCACAATAACAACAGCAGCAATCAAACATGTATTTTTTTATCAATCACAAAATAAACATTAAACTCGACTTTATGCGGCGCTTGTAGTGGGAGTAGGCGTCAGCCACAATGCTGGCATATTTTACACTTCTGCTTTCAATGCAAACAAATTTTTTATTACAATATTATTGCTGAAGGCATAACATGTGAGTGAGTCCCCCTACAGCCAGCCAACCCCGCCCACTCTTGCTGATATTTATGTGAAAGTAAAAAATGAATAAATATTTATATGTATTTGTTTATGCTATGTACATGTATGGGTGTCTATTTGTATTTTAATCTGCACAGCCTTCAACATAATTGAAATGAATGCAACGCCATTTGATGAGGCTCCCATCATCCTACCCGCCCAGCCGTTTGTCTGTATACATAAAAAGAATGCTATTTTTATGATTTGTTTGACAAGCGCCCAACAACCCCCACTTGAAGGAAAACAGAGAGCAACACCTAATAAGATTCGCGACAACCCGAGTCTAAACATATTTTCCACATTATTTCCCATTTTTCAAGACCCAAAATGGCATTGACAAAATACAAGAAAGGAATATAAAAAGAAAATAAAAATAAAACATATTTATACATATCTATGTATGTGTGTTGGTGTGTGTGTATTTGTAAGTAAATATATTGCCTGCAACATAAGCACAATAAATGAGCGCAAAAATCAATTGACAATTTATTGTCGAGGGCATAAAAAGCGAGCTGGAACATGGGCTAAAAATCTACAGTGCTTATCATAATTATAGCCCACTTTTAATCCACTTAAACGAATAGGCTGAAAATTTTTCCTAAATGGCATATTCCCTCAAAATGAGTAGTTCAGTATTTCAATTATGAATGGCAAAAAACTTTTTCACTTCAAATTAACGATTTAATAACAATTTCTTAAAAAGAAGTAAAAAACAAAGAAAAACAGCACCATTTGCTATATCAAAATTACAGCCCATATTCTTACTTTGGTAAAAAGCAATCCAAATTCGTTGCGGATTGATGGAAAAACTAATGTCAATACTTAGTCCGGCCTCTATTTGCCTTAGGTGACTCAAAAATTCTCTTCCTCATTGAAACCACTAAATTTAATAAAAGGTCCTTTTCGAAACTTTGTCATTCATTTAGAATTTGCGTTTTAAGATATCAACTGTCTCCAATTGGCGAATTTTGGTATACACATGTCTTGTTAGATTATCCCAGACATTTTCTATCGGGCTGAGATCTGAAAAACATGCTGGCCAGTCAAGGACATCAACAAGAAATTCCTCCAAATACTCCTTTTTTCGTCTGCACACATGGATTCTGGCATCATCCTATTGGAATACCATTGGTTTCTCACGCAATTCCCTTAAATATGGAATGAAACTACTATCCAGAGTCTGAATATACTCTTCACTGTTCATTCGGCTCGTTACAAACTTCAATTCCAAGGTACCAAATGAACAAAATGTACCCCAAATCATGACGGAGCCACCTCCAAAGTCTGTCCTTGAAAAAAACACAGAAGTGGGATATCCACAAAAGATATCAGAACGCATATTGGAGTCGCAGAGGTCAGCACCGAGAAGAGAGTAAACTTGTGTACAATAATAAAGCCGAAAAGGAAATATGTACCAACTGGGTGAGCTCTTTCCATTTTTTCTTTGATTCGGGTGCCGAGTGTTATGTAATCAAGGAAACATGTAGTAATTACTGGTTTGGCAAGCGAATAAACAACCTGATTAATATTGAGAGATATAGGAGTAAATATTGTGAAGAGCAATTGGCGAATTTTGGCTACAGTGCAAGTTTTTCAATTAAACCTAAAAATATTATTTCATGTGTAAGCATTTCATTTGATGACAGATGATTGCTTGAAGCATGATGTAATATCAGTCGAGAAATCTTGCAGCTCGGTTTCAGTGTGATAATTGAAGCTGACATAAAATCTAATTGGTTAGGAAGAAAGATGGTAGTGATAGACTGTGTGTAGACTACCGTGAACTAAATGCGAATAAATATCCTCTTCCATTGATATCAGATCAGATAGCCAGATTACGAGGTGAAAATATTTTTCCAGTATGGACATGGCAAGCGGGTTTTATCGAAGATTCTATTGAACGAACCGCTTTTGTGACTCCAGAGGGTCAATATGAATTTTTAGCTCTTAAGAATGCCTCATCGGTGTTTCAGCGTGCGATTGTGAGAGCTTTAGGTGAATTGGCATATTCATACGCAGTTGTTTATATTGACAATGTTTTGATTGTGGCTGAATCAAAAGAACAAGCTTTTGAAAATCGTTAAAGGCATTGGCAAATGCAGGATTTTCATTAAATATAAAGAAATGTGAGTTTTGAGAACAGGAATTGAGTATCTTGGATTTTACAAAATAAAAAAATAAAAAAATAAAACTGTGAAATAAAACCAAACCTAAGAAAAATAGAGGCGTTGTCCGTTTTATCAAAAAATCATTTCCATGTTGACAAGTGACCCAGTGCTTAATATTTTTGATCCTCAACTCCCAAAAGAACTTCACACAGATGCGAGCTCGTACGGTTAAGATGCATGCATAAGTAAGAAGAGAAATGTAGAGTAGTCGTAGTCAGAATCCAAATATCATTCGTTGAGTTGGAAACTCTGGCAGTGTACAATGCTGTGAAGCACTTTCGACACTATTTACATGGCACAAATTCTTCTGTATATACTGATTGCAATGTGTGAAAGGCAAGCCGCACAAAAGCTGAATTGACGCCAAGAGTGCATCGATGCTGGGCATATAAGACGGAAAGCCAAATGGTCGGGTTTGCGCAGAAGAGTACGAGCTACTGAATTTGAGTGATATCCTGCCAAACTTACATTCGATGGAGAGCCCTTTTGGCGAGTGGTTGCGGAAGAGTATGATGTACTTTAAGAATGTAAGTGAGATATCCCGTAACACTGCCATTTGATGATGTAACATAGGTGAGAGATAAAAGTGAAATCCAAATGGTTGAGTTTATTTGCAATAACTAACATTTGAAGACATTAGGAAAATGTGTAATGAGATAAAGTAATGATTATGTGGGTAATGAACAGAAAGATTTATTTTGATAATATCGATGAGAGCAAATGTAAATGTTTAAATGATGCGAATATGTTACATTGGATAATGAAACTATGTAAGCGAGTTATTTTATTTTGATTAAAAATTAGATATGAGTTTTTAACTGTATACACGAGGACGTGTAATCGTATCGTAACAGGAGTATGATATGATAACAACATGAAACATGAAAAGATTCGCGCGACGATTGAAAATAGTCATATTTGCGTTCATTTTCTGATCATAAAAGACTGTTCTGTCGGGAGATAATGGTACCCTAGCCGCGACTCATCTTGATAAGTCGCTTATGATTCTTTTTCTTAATCATAAAAGAGTCTTCCACAAGTTATAATTTAACCATTTCTGACTCATATTCGAATGAAATTTTCAATAATTTGCAACGAAAATAATTTGTTTATTAATATAATTTTCATTTACTATATATATGTATATTATCTTAAACAAGTAAGAAAGCTATAGTCGAGACTGCTCGACTACGAGATCCCCTGAACCCTTGGAGCAATAGCTATTTCAATAATTTTTCGCGTCTTTCAGCTTACACAAGAAACACGCACACACACACACACACACACGCACACACAGGCATACATACACATACACGCATACACACACGCATACGCACACACACGCATACACACACAAACACATACACACACACATATACACAAGCACCCACGCATAAACACGCATGGGCTGCAGTGTGCGCTTACTATGAGAAATTAATTGTTTAATAACTTTTTTTGTGGACATACGATCTTCATGAAACTTTCAGATTATGATTACACCATGGATATGCATGTATTTGCCAAAGCACAAGTCTCTAGTATTTGAACGCTTTTTACGCTTTTTACAAACATGGTGGTGAGGGGGTGGATATAGGGGTGGGGGGTAAATTTTAACAAAAACCGAAATTGCATAAATTGCATATAAGCATACATAACAAATTTGGAGAGTCTAGCAATAAAGGTGTAGGAGATATAATTTTATAACTGGTTTTCGATATGGTTTTTTATCGATTAAAAAAAAATTTGAAGTCTCTAGCTTTTATATCTTCTGAAATCGACGCGTTCATACATACGGACAGACGGACAGACAGACGGACAGGACCAAATCAACTCAGCTCGTCGCCCTGATCAAGAATATATATACTTTGTGGGGTCTGCCACGCCTCCTTCTGCCTGTTACATACTTTTAACAAAACCATTATACCCTGATTTCCCATTGAAAATGGGTTCAGGGTATAACAAAATGTGGCCAATAAAAAAACTTAACATAGGCCTTGGCCTAAGTAAATTAGTTTGGCATAAAAAACCGCATGAGTATATATGGTCCATGTATATATATACTTCTTTTATACATATGAAATTTGTAGTTTAGCTCTTGTGCGTAAGCGGAAATTTAATTTTAGCGCAATTGAATATTTTAGTTAATTAGTTGAACGTCGAGAGAAATGAAATGCCAAAGAGAAAATATAAGAACAATAAAAAAAAAAAGAAAGATACAGGAAGGGAGAAACAGACGCCCTAGTTGTAGTCGTCGTCGCTTTCCTCGTCGCTGGGCAGGTGCACCGACTGCTTGCTGGCGACCAGCAGGGAGTGGCCCAGGACGTCTATGGCCAGCGGCTTTCGCATGTCGAAGGCATCCTCGTCGGGATCGCCTGGGTAGTACTCGAGCAGGACGCGGCGCAGACAGTAGCCGAGGGCGCAGTAGAGCTGGTAGGCGGCCTGGTTGCTGCAGCGCAGATAGAGATCCACATACCAGGCGTTCCTCAGGTCCAGCAAGTGCGCAAAGTGGTTCATGAGCAGCGAGGCCACGCCCAGCCGGCGATAGTGCGACTCGACGGTCAGCGCGCAAACGTGACCGTGCAGGTCGGCGGCATCCGTGCCGGGCAGGCACTTGCCAAAAATGAAGCCGGCCAGTTGGCCCTGAGGCGAGAGGGCGGCCAGCGCCAGTTCGGGCCACTGGGCCAGGTGGCGCATGAAGAAACTGAGGCCATACACCTCGGTGAATGGATCGAAGACTAACGTGTTGAATTTAAAAAGATCATCGAGATGCATCTCCCGCAGGCAACTCATGATGATATCCGAATACGGTAAACAATATGTTTAACAAATAGATTTTGATGATGGCAAGTGCGTGTTGTTTACTGAGTATTTATGATTGGGTTTGACATGGCATATGACACTCAACACGAGTTGAGAACATTCTCAAAGCACGTTCAATATGGCATCCCGAAGCATGCCGAACAGCATTTTCAGCACCTTCACCAGTTCCCGTCCGGCACTGTAAAGGCCGTCTATAGCATTCATCCGTCCCTTGAGGCAAGTGCCGTCCACGTCCTGGGATAGCGGCAGGCGCATCTCGTACCCATCGTCATCGTGGTAGTATCTGGGCAATAAGGAGTACTTCGCATAGCCCAGCAGCTCGTAGAACTTGATGGCGTTCTGGTTCTTGCAGCGCACAAATAGATCGATGTACCACTCCCGTTTGACCTCCAGTTTGACCCTGAAGCTTTCCATCAGCAGCGTGCCCACTCCCAGACGTCGGAAGTCGTTGTCAATGGCCAGGGCACTGACGTGGCCATGGCTGCTCATCTTCTCTGGGTCCTTGCCATTTCCGACCCATCGCTCATTACGAACGCGAACGCCCATGATAAATCCCGTTAACTGGCCATTGGGAGCAACGGCGACTTCATTGAGCATCGGAAACTCTAATAGTCTAAAGGCGTAGAACGCATTCGAATAGACCTCGGTCAGGGGATCAAAGAGCATCCTATTGAACTTGAACAGATCATCGAATGCAAATTCCCGTAATGCCGTCATATTACAAGGAGCTGCTTTTTGATATATTTTTATTTTTAATATATTAACGTAGAAATTATTTCTACAGTAAAAATGTGTCGCAATATTATTGACATACTTCGACTTTTCACTCGTAGCTAGCCATGTCTGTAAATATCAAGATAACATACATATACAATGAAAGTTAAGCTAAAGGACTAAAAGCAAATTGAAAGCTGTCATCGAACAAAATCAATCCCAATTATTGAAAGTGATACAATTTCCAACTAATAATAGAAATATTAGAAGTCTATTAACATTCATGTTTAATAAAAATTCGCAGCTAGAAAAATTCCGATGTCGCGGAAGAATTCCATTTTAAATCATTTGTATACAATGCGGGTCGCAAGTTTTGTATATGTACATACATGTTCAAATAAGTATTTGTAATTATCCTACTTCAGGCACGAAAGAGTATATTGGTCTTTGCTATATTCGTCCTTAAAAACGCATTCGCTTTCGTAACTGTTGAAGATGTAGAAATACTTATTAGGGGCGTGGCAAATACTATATCCGGTATCTCAAAGACATTTAATTAAAATGCTATAGACTTGAAATTCCGAATACAGACATGTAGCTATGTATGTCTTTAATGCAAGGTAAAACAAGTAAGAAGGCTCTAGTCGAGACTGCTCGACTAGGAGATATCCTGAACCCTCCAAGCTCATATTCTAATCATTCTGCACTTCTTCTATGCACACATACATACACATGCATCCAGACGCACGTATAACAACGCGCTCTGCTGACGGCGCAGTAAGCAGCGACTGCGCTTGGGCTGCGCTGCAATGTGGGCAATATTTTACGAATTTATTTGTTGAATAATTTAATTTTTAGACGTACAATCTTAATGAAACTTTTAAAACGTAATTATAATGTTCAAATGTATGTACATTCCAAAGCACAAGTCCCTAGTATTTGAAATGCGTTTTTTACAAAGGCGAAGGGGGCGTGGTATCTAAAATCTGTAAATTACAAAATCTTTGTATCCATTAACTTTATATACAACGCAAATTTGAAGTCTCCAGGTCTAATAGTATTCTAATGAGGTTGAAGAAACAAAATCAATTTTTCGATTATTCTCGATAAAAAAATTATCGGATGATTTATCGAAAAACTAAAGCAAACTCGTACTGCGTATGGTACACAGGAGTATGCATGCCAAATTTCAGCTCTCTAGCTCTTATAACTTCTGAGATCGACGCACTCATACGGACGGACGGACGGACGGACGGACAGACAGACGGACAGGGCTATATCGACTCAGCTCGTCACGCTGATCAAGAATATATATAGTTTATGAGGTTTGCCATGCCTCCTTCTGCCCGTAACATACTTTTTCACAAAACCATTATACCCTGATTTCCCATTTTCAATGGGTTCAGGATTTAAAAATGTACCCAACCTCACTGTTATAAGCGTTATTTTTATTTTTAAGCGTTATTGTAGCTCGATATTTGGAGTCTTGAATATATAGTCGTCAGTATTACCAGCATTCCAAAAGAAATTACCCTTGAGTCCTTGCCATCTCCAATCTCGATAAAAGCAATCAACCCAAGTAATCTGAAATGAAACTGCACATTCAGCAAACGCACTAAAATCCATCCTGCTGAATTTGAACAGATTATCGAAGGCAAGTTCACTATTGACGTATGCTTACAGACAAAAGCTTACTGCTATTTCAGCTTATTTAAATTCTCGTTTTGGCGCAATTACCAGAAGTTTTATATTTTAAACACATATATTTAAAATAAACATATATACAAAAGGCGTATCTGATAACTGAAATCGAATCGACATACAGAACTAGACAGGTGGCCAAAAAAAGTCAATTCCTCTAAACGTTCTTTAATTACGCTCAGTAAAGTAAGCAATTGCCGCTTTTAGAATACTTAGTCTTTGCACAGTGGTGTACAATTAGTATATTAAATCATATCGATAGTTGTCTAATAAGCTCTGTTAAAATTTCTGATATCGATATATGCCAATTCGATTGTGGCCAGCCGCATGTATTTCTGTTGCTTAACATAAAATACACCGTAACAACAAAATGTTACGAAATTTTAGTCGAATTGGAATTAAAAATATTAAATTAAGTTTCAATGAAGTACAACCTGTGCGTTACATGGCTGGACATTCCAAATGGGCCAACATAAAACATATTAAGGCGCAGAAAGATGGATTACGGGCAGCTCTTTTTGAAAAGATTGCAAGACAACTGCGGCTGGCAGTACAGGAAGGCAAATCGGCTGACCCGGCTGTGAATTCGCTTTTGCGATCGGAAATTGACAATGCCCTGAAGAGAAATATGCCCATGGGAACAATACAAAATACAATTAAGAAATGCCAGCATAACAAAGCACAACTGAAGAAACATCGCTTCGACATAAGATATAGAAGAAAAGTCTATATGATTTGCAGCATATATAGCGATAATCTGCCTGGGATCAAAATGGATGTGACGGCAATGATAAAGAAATCTGGGTAAGTTCATAAATTAAACTAATAAAGAGATTCAAGTATATTTAAACCCTCACTTAAGTCAAAAATCTATTGCAGCGCTGAATTCGTAGACGTGAGCCATATGTTCGAGGATTTTGGACTTATAGAAGCCCGTTATGCTTCACCGTTGACCAGCACTGAAACCAGCCTAGAGGAGAAGGTCACGGAAGACGCAATTCAACTAGGAGCTGAAGATGTGGAAATTGTTGATGCTGCCACAGCCGCAGTGAATGTTAGTAATCAAAGGAGATAACTAATCCAAGATGGGCTATCTAGATTCTAGTTTACTTTAGAATAACCGCCATTACTAACATTTTGTATACGATTAGTTCATTTGCAGTCCGACTCACTTGACTGGCCTCAGTAAAACTTTGGAGCAAAATGGGTACTCGATCGAGAACAGCGAGCATGTATTTACACCAAATGTAATATATAGTCTCTTCTATATGATGCGGATACTAATTCAAGTATTATTTTAGAGTCTTGTACAGCTGGACGAGGACGAAAAGAAGGCATACCACGTATTTATAAAGAAACTGCGAGGTGTTCCTGGTATGGAGGACATATATGATAACGTCGAATAAAGTCACGTCTTCAGCTATACATATATATATATGTTTATTGTACATAACTGGCAATAATCTATGTTCAATTGTTACATGTCTGTAAAGATGTGAATAAATATGTTATAAAATTACAAACTATTTCAAATGTGCTCGCTCGGCCTACTGGATACAACGGAACAACATTTACTATGAAATCTCTTATATCAAATGCTCTTTACAATGCGGTAATGGGAGTCTTTCCTTGCTTGTCTCTCATTAACAGTTATTTAACTTGAAGTTCCCTGAATAAGATCCAACCTATTGAAGAAATTAGAGATTAGTTTCTGATGCGAATGTGCTTTGCTTAGACTTACAGTTTGTGGAGGTTCAGCAGCTGAAAGCCTAGATTGTCTAGACGAAAGTTCGAGTTACGATAATCTATATAGGCGACGGAAGTACTTAAATAGGGTTTACACAATGTTTAACACTCATTTCAAAATTCCTAAAAGATTTTAATTATTTATAAATAGTTTAAATGAACTGGTAGTAAATTATATAATCAATGCAGCAATACTTTTTTAACATTACAATTAATTGCATTTAAAAAAATAATTACTTTTAACTTAATTTAAAATCGTTTATATAATCATGACAGGTTATCCTCCCAATTCTTGTTTTGGATTCTTACTGCCCAAAGATCATGCAAACAGGCCGTTCGTCTAATCTTTACAATTTGGGATTGTCGAACAGAGGACCGCGCGTTACCGTTATATCGGCATACGGCGCCGATTGTGTTATATGCAGGGCCTTGAACTTTTTCAATACGAGCAACGAGTAGAACTTCTGAGCCGCCTGTTTTCTCGTGTTTCGCACCGTCAGCTGCGATAGGGTCAGGTGATCTTGGTTGTTGAAGTGAACTCTGACATCGAGGAAGAGTTGCGCCGCTCGCTTATTCAGCACACGCTCCTCAAACTGCTCATCCGTTTCATTCTCCATTTGTTCCTCGGCTGTGGTGTGCGGCAAACCCGCCGAAGGCGGAAAGTCGTAGTCATTCCAATCTGTGGAAATATCGCACGACTTATTGAAGTTGTTGCCAGCGGGCATGTTTCTTCCTTCGGTCTCGTTGAATATCGAGCTGACTTGGTCTGGCGGCAGGTTTGGCATACAATCAATGTCTCCCATTCTTCC